ACCCTGGGCTTGTATGAATGACATATAGCAGAAAGGTCCAAATGCAGACAGTAGTATGAAAAAGGAATTTATAAATTATGGAAGGCAAATGTAGCTGAGCAGGCTGGCAAGGGAGGGAAGAAAGACAAATAGAGGACGTTTGGAAAATAAAGCAAAAGAGAAGATGAGCAGAGCTGTATAAATAGAGGAAATTAAAAAAAAAAGTCAGAGAAGCTATTGATTAACAGATGAACGAGACACATCACAAATGCATACAGTGGCAAGGAATAGCAAAAATGCATGCTGAGAAACTTAAAAATGGGAGAAAAATTGCAAGGAGTAAAAAGTAAGATTTGTTGGCTGTTCTTTGTTGCCTCTGACCTTTGTGGTTCAGGTCTCAATTTAGCATGGAAGAAAAATGAGGATTTTGGTGGAATACTTGAAGGGGCTAAGGGGGGCTAGCTGGGGAGTGAGCTGATCGTGGGGGACAGGCATGACAGAAGCCTACAGCATGAAGGTGGCAGGGAGCGTTGCATGGAGATGACTTGTGATTTAATGTGCTATTCCCCAAAGAGCAATTCTTTGTTGAGCTGTCAAGGGGTTTGGTACTTTTCCAGAGGTGCAGATGTATTTGAGCAGTAGGAAGCTGAGAGCCAGAGCAAAGCCCATCCTGTCTGCTTGTGATTCCCTGCCATGGAGCCTGCTTTGCTTGCACTCACAGTACCAGGTGATGATGCATTGGCACAGGCTGCCCAGGGAGGTGGTGGAGTTGCTGTCCCTGGAGGTGTTCAAGAAATGTGGAGATGTGGCACTGGGGGATGTCCCCAGTGGGCACTATTGGTGGTAGCTGGATAGTTGGATAAGTGAGCCTAGAGGTCTTTTCCTGCCTTAATGATTCTGCGATTGTAGGTGATGGATGGCCTCCTGCCCACAAGGTGAGGGCAAGTCCCAGGCTTGGCGTTGTGTTGTCATCAGCTGTGAGTGGTGTGAAGCCCAGCGTGGCCTCGTGGCTCTGCCTACCCCACAGCAGAGTGGTCTCCAGCTGGGCTTCAGGCTGAATCATTGTGGTTAAAGCAAAAGGAAAAAAAAAAAAGAGATGATTTGCAGCAACACGCATGAAGGAATGGGAAGCTGGGAGTCCATTCAGTAGCGTGTCTGGGGAGTGGAGCTCAGCAGCACATCAGCATGTCAACATCAAGCAGAGGATGTGGCACTCAGCATTCGGCTCAGGTGTCTGCCTGCTCTGCAGTGACAGATGAAGTGTCCGCAGAGCAAACAAGCTGCACTGAATACAGCGGCTGGCCTGCCTGCGTGCTGTACGATCGTATTTAAAGAGAAATTCCAGTAGGCTGCCCTGCTGACAAACCGCAGATGAAGGCTGGGAACAAGTCATGCAGTTCAGTCACCCGACTGCCTGCCCTGGTCCCTGTACTGGGCTTTCCAGAAAGTCCCCCTTCCCCTGCCAGAAAGAGAAGGTAGAAAATGAGAAAGTGCTTTATCAGGACAATGTTGCTGCTGTGAAACTGGGGAACCCTAAAGCTGATACTGTTTTTAAAGTGCATCAGCTTCATAAATGACTTGTAAGAACTGTAGGTACAGCTGTATTTCCCTGAGCTTTTTTGAAAGTCGTCATGAAAAAACAAAGCAAGATTGCAAGCCAGCAACTGTACTTTTGGTAGATGTCCTAAAGGGAGTGACAGGAACGAAGGAGAGGCGGTTTCATGGCAGCAGCATGTTCATGCTTCAGTAACTCACAGCATCTGTTACAGTTTGACTGCTGCGGTGGGTAAGGCAGAATCTGAAGATGTCATCTAATTAGGTTTCTGTAAAGCACATGATATCAAAGATTAACGAGCAAGCAAACGTTTCCCCAAAATGACTGTTTTTGGAAATTTCCGATGGAAAATTCTTGTATGGGACAAGCATGGTAACTTGGGGGCTTCCACCATTAAGGCTGTGGTGCTGTGGCTGGTAGAGGTAGTAGTCCTGCAAGGGCCGAAGTGATGTTGGTGTCAGTGGGGATTTTGCCTGTCTCAGAGCATGAAGCTACGTGCAGCTGGGTGCTCAGACACAGCAAGTCCACTCAGAGCCCAAGTATCAAGGAATAAATAGCAGACTGAAAACCGGAACAGTTTAGAGAAAAGCTGGGGGACCTGCACATTGCTTAGGAAAAGGGAACACCATACAGAAGGATCTTGTATGATATGGAATGCTGTAAGCAGTTTGCGTGAAAGTGTAGTTTTGCAGTGTAAAGACCTTTTCCCTTTTAGGTTTTGATGTGCTCTCTGTATATTAATGAACTGGCACAGCTGGAGATGTTGTCTGATTCTTGACTCAGCAAACAGCTAGGGCTTTGCTGCATGGGATAAGCTAGGATTGCTTGCCTGCATTAACTGCAAGCAAAAGTGGAGGACGCCCAAAAAACAACCATGTACAGAGCCATGCTGGGCTGTGCTCATGCCTTCCCCTCAGCAGGCTCTGCTGCCCATCTCCCAGCTGCCTTCTGCCCCTTGCAGCATTGCAGGGGAGGCTCTGTCACATGCAGGAGCACGGCCCAGGCTGCAGGCCTCCCATTCTATGCTTAGTCCAGAAGCACAGTTTTCCTTCTGTCAACAGCTTTTATAGTGAACTGGAAGGTCTGTAGTGTTAGGAGAAAAAGTCACTGAATGATCAATGATTTTTTGTTGGCTTAAAAAAGAATTTTTTTTTTTTTTTTTTGAGGGATTTGTGGGTGAACTGTTAGAGTGGTGCTGTCCTTTGGTTTAGTCTGGATGATTAGCACAAGGGAAAAATACAACCCTGTCTCTCAGCATTTGATTTTTAGAAATGTGAATTTTTCCTGGTGGGAACACAGAGAGTTTCAACAGAGACCATTGTTAGCCCTGCAAATGCCAAGTGTCTGCTCTTGGGAGATGGAGAACAAAGTTGGCACCAATAATTAGCAGCCGAAGCTCTGATTTGGCAGAAGTTGCTGAAAATGAACAAATGATGGAGAAGTCTTGGGATGACAGTAAAATACAATGCAGTTGAGATGACTCTCAGAGTGTTACTGCACAAAGCACGGGGGGAAGGTAATGTGGAAAATACGATTGCTCTTCTCAGGAGCCAGAAGGACGGCCAGCACTGCAGCAGGATGAGATGAGATGAGGGGCAGGGAGGGAGCAGGCAGCCTGCGCTGAGGATGGTAAGTGCTGGATGCCAGGATCACGCTGTGCCTCTGGCACAGTGGGGATGAAGGCGCCGCACTGCTGGTTTGCAGTATCACCTCTGATAGCTCCAGCCTTGCTGCTTATTGCTGTCCTTTTTTTTTTTTTTTTTTTTTTTTTTTTTAGTGAGTAATGAGAGAGGACACGACCGGCAGCCCCTGCCAGCTCAGTCTTACTTTTCTAGAAAGCTTGTAGCAGTTACTGTCAAATTGTACATATAATCTGTAAGGCAAATCAGAGTATGTGATTGCCTCATGATCCTATAGAGAATCTCCCGAGCCCGCTGTGATAGCTCAGTAATTACTTCTGGGCACCAGTGAGGATTAACATTGAGGCTTTCCCAGTGGAGCAAAACAGGAGATAGGGCTGGTGCTGGCTGCCGGAGGATTTTGAGCCCTGACTGAGTCCAGGAGGAGATCACAGCTCCATGGGGATGGAGGAGCACCGCATGGGGCCTTCTCTGTTTATCTGAGGCTGTGGCCTCATGTCATCGAAGTTCCATGGAGAAATGGTAAAAGGCTGTCCAGATATTCCTGTAGTGAGCCTGGTAATCCACTCATCCCAAGCAGCCAATTTTTATGTAAGAATGTCAGTAAGTGAAGATGGAGATTCCACATTCTTTAGTAACATTTCCAAGAGTTGTTTCGTATTTCACCTTTGAAGGTGATGAGTTTAGCCTCCTCCCTGTGTTTCCTATTATGCTGCTGTGAACTGAGAGCTGGAAGCCTTTAATCAACCCTCAGTGCTCCCTCTGCCTGTCCAAGTCTTCGGTCTGACATCTTCTGAAATCAGGAGGTTCTTAGGGAGGACTCCTAGGGTTCTTGAAATACAAATGATAATAACGATATTAACACTAATCATTATTATCCTGTAGGGTGAAATGTCAATAGTCCATATTTTCACGATAATTTTTAGGGCCTACATGTCACATGAAGTGCATCCCGTCCTGCCAAGATACAAGATTTTTGTATCACAGGCTCTGTTTGAAATGGCTCGTAATAACATTGGCTGCTATTGTGCCTGAAGGAGTGGTGTTTGACATGCAATAATGCAAAGTGACATGACAAATCAGAAATGAAAAATGAAAAGCTGTTAAATAATCTCGACTGTAGCTAAAAATGAATTCATCTCGTATCTAAAATGCATTCCTGATTTGTAATGATAAAGGGGATCCATGTCACTACTGCTAAACGATGTGAGTGTATTGAGGAAAGGAGATAATGCATTGAGGGGGGATGTTGGGTTGTTACATGCTCCATAGAAACAGGCTTTGTTGGTAACAGCATTTGCCTGGAAGTATGACTGTGGGCAGTAAGATCAGATTCAAAGCGCAGTGTTGGCCTTTACCTGCTGTTCTGAAATCAAGGATGCCCTTGGTAGCAGAAGATCCCACCATGGTGCATTTCTTACACGTGGCACTGAGCAACACGTAAACCACTGTAGGGATGGGTTGGACTGCAAGATCTTAGTGGTCTTTTCTAACCTTAATTATTCCATGAATCTAAGTACTTTCAAGCAACAATTATTTTACAGCAGATAGCTCCGTTCTTGTCGAGGCCTTGGTGTATCCCTTTGGTCATGTAATTATAACACAGTACCGCATTGTAGAAAGTATTGTTTTTATGTTGCGAAGTAATCTTTCAGGTCAGATTTCTCTCTCATTTAGGTCACCTTTAACTGACATTGAAGGAAAGTTATGCTGTTACATAACATACAGAACGTAACAAAAGCTGCTGCTTCAAAATTACCCCAGCTCACCTGAGACCTGAGCCTGAACCGCTGTCAGTTGCTAATTGTTTGTTTGTCTGATTGCAGCGCCTAACCTGACTAATCTGGATGGTCTCAGTGCACTGAGACTTATTGAAGATCGGGTGCACAGACTGAGGCAGCGCCGCCGGAGGCACGCGACGGATGATGATTACAACATCGAAGTCCTTCTGGGGGTTGATGACTCAGTTGTTCAGTTCCATGGGAAGGAACACGTTCAGAAGTACCTGCTGACCCTGATGAACATTGTGAGTACAGCCCTGCCAGCCGCACGGTGAGATGGCAGTGAGGGGAGGGTGGATGGATGTTGGTTTTGCCGTTTAATGCATCATAGATTTTTCTCATAGCAGGAGGTGAAATAATTCTAGGAGCAAAATCCAGGCCGCTTGTAGAAAAGGCAAAAGGGAGAAGGAACAAAAGAAAAAGGGGCCAAGGAAGAAACTGACAGTGGGACCATTAAAACTCAAAGTCCTGCTTATGTGCTTTGATGGATGGGGGCATAGGGTCAGGGCCTCAGGTCCTCAGAAGTCATTACGTATTAGATGTATATTCCCTTAACTTCAGCTCCCTGCTGAATAACATGGTTTGGAGAACTGTCTTCAAATAGGCTGCATTAGAAACTTCGATTGGCTTATACATTTTTAAAACTGCTCTGTTAAACTCTTTGATTCCTCCAGAATCACTTACAGTCCCAGGCCACCCGCCTACTCCTTGTTCACGCTGCAGTGAAATGCTATGCAGTCAATCACTGAACTTTCTTAGATTGATTTAGTATTTAGTCTGTAGCTGACACCTTTAGGTTTCCTTCATTAAATATTTAATCTTTCGAACCATGGTGCAGCAGACTATATAATGTGGTAGTGAGGAACGCAGAAACTAGAGAATGTTTGGAGGAGCTGTCTTTTCTTTCTAAATATCAGAGCAGTAGACATTTCCACAAACACCTCCAGTACCCCAGCCGTGTGGGGTAAGAATCAAATTTTGAAAAACAATCTCCATTATAGTCAAAGTAAGTAGTATTCTTTTGGCACAAAACTGGCATTGAGTGATGGTCCCCTTCATAGGCACTCATTCTGGGAGGAGTTCCTTCTCGTGCTCACCTGGAACAGAAGTCTGTTTTCAATAGATACTATCAGCAAATATGCGTTCTCTGTGAAATGTTGTTGCATTAAAATTGTAGGTCTGCTCTGGTTTTGACAGATAGACTGTGATTGCTGAAGCTCACAGTAGAATCAAGAGGATGGAGTGTCTGTAGGTGACTTCAAGGCATTCCAGACGCCGGCAGATATATGCACACACTCTGTTCTGTTAGCTACTTTTGTCTGGGGTGCTTTTATCCTAAGAAATATTTTTTAATTATGAAGCTTGTTTTCTCATTACTTTATTGCATTCTTTTAACAATGTGTGGAATGTCAGTGTTTTTCATTTTAAATGAGAGGTAGAATACAGTGTAAGGAAATCCCTTGTGCGATGTAAATTCAATTGCGCTGCTTTTTTATAGCAATATTGTAAATAGTTAAAAATCTGTACTGACATTAGAGTTATTGGGTACTTGGTGTATGCTCTCATGGCTGTAAATACGTGCGTTTTAACAGAAATGACATTGTGAATTTCATCTGTTTGTGTGGTTTGTTTCCTCTGAGGCTTAAAACAAAGTCTACAATGAAACAGATGGTTTTATATATCTCTAAATTAACAAGCCAAAGAGGCCAAACCAGGAATGTGGCAAATGGGCTGAAATAGATTAAGCAGGACTCTACTTATCATGTCACTTAAAACTATTTTTAAGAATTAAAATACACAGTAATGGTAAAGGAGCCATAAATGTTCCAGCTCTGGAATACACTTGTTCCTAATTTTAGCAAACCATCCAACACACAAATTGTAAGAAATAACAGCTCTTAAACATGCTGTCTCTGCAAGTGGTTTAGAAAGTGCAGCCTGTGGAACCATATCCCGGGGCTGTAACAGCTCCTGGCACGGGCAGCAGCTGTGCTGTTGGTTGGTCTGAGGCAGAAACGTGTCCTCTGGGGACGGAGGATGTGTCCCTTCCTTTGTGTCCGGGCTGTGAGGAGCCGCGCAAGGAGGCGCTGGGAAGTCTTTGGCAGCCACAATGTTGTCCTGGTCTTTCCTTCACTAACACTCAGCCAGTTTCTGTAGTCTGCATTTTAGACGAGGGATGGGGTGATGGGGACCAGTCCTCTGTCTCTTTCTCTCCAAGACTTGCTCCGCAGTGGAGAGGCAGACACCAGCTGGTATGGAATGTGTGCTTACAGTCTGGGCCTGGTGAGATACATAGGCCAAGGGGAGCTGAAAGAGAAGAGAGATGGCTGCAAAAAAAAATCTGCTGGAAGATCCCACTGGAACCATCACATTGTGTGTATCCTGCTGGTTTTACAGGCACAATCAATTAGCTTTGTACTTTAACAAGGCATTAAGCATAAAATCAATTATCTTCATACAGTAAGAAGGCATTAAGGGTAGAATCAAGTGTGCATAGCAAGTAAATAAACTAAAATAATAATGGAAGTCTTTACTGGAGATAAAAGGCTGATTGAGAGGGTTGAGTTTCTCTGGTTCCAAAAAATGAAATAAATTCCAGGTGAGGTTTCCCTCGTGCCCAGACTCCTGGAGGCGTAATCGCTTTCCCAGAAGCAGCGCCCAGCTCGCAGCATGGCTGCTCTCCCTGCTTTGCCTGGTTTTGCTGTGCATGATGCTGTGAGCAGTTGTCCTTAATTAACTTTTCCCAGGGATCTTGGGTGGAGCCCTACCACCAACCCAATCAAAACAATATATTTTTTTCAAACCCAGTGCGATGACTTATTCAGTCAATCTGTTTTGTGCTGCTTAACTGATGTGTTACAGTCCACACCTAAAAGCCATAAAATGAGAATAAAACAGAGACTGTGTCCTGGCTATCTTGAATAGCAGTGCTAATATTTATCCTAATGTTTGGAAATTGAAATCATAGCCCCCAGCGAATAGTGAGAGACACACCAGAGGGTTTTTAATGCTTTGGGCTGCAGCCACACATCCCTGTCTGTCTGCCAGCAGTGTCACTGCTGTGAGCCAGGCCTCCTGTCACCCATCTTTACTCCCCCACCATTCCTCATACAGAAACTTGGGTTTCTCTTGACATCCCTTCCTCTCTGCTCTGCACCATGGGGACGTTCGTTCCACCTTTGGAAAGAAATGCCATTGTTTTCACTTCAGAGACGCTCAGCTGCCTCTCACTTGCACCATTTTCTTCTAGCCATCCTGGTGTGTTTCTTCCTTGGAAGGATAGCAGCTTGCACAGGCCTCTGTATTTCCAAGTATAAGCCCACCCACTGCACAAATTATCTTTGTATTTTTAGCATGCAGGACCATTGCAAGAGATGAGAGAGATTTGGGAGCTATCTTGCAGCCCTGATGTTTACTCAAGAACAGGGAAGGTAATTTAATTTCTGCAAGAAAGCAGCAAAGGAATCAGAGATTTTATCTGCTCCTACAAGTGTATGGGAAATATTAAAACCCACTTGACCAGAAGTGGCATTGGAGAACTATCTTGTTCATCAGGAAACAAAAGGATTTCACTGCAGGATGCTGTGGGAGGAGGAGCAGGGCGCTGAGCTGCAGTGGGTATTGGTGCTAGCCAGCCTGGGGCTAAAATTCTCAGATTATTTCATAACCCTCTTAAAATAGTTCACAGTATTAAGCAGGCGTTCTGCTGCCTGCTGCAGAAAAGGAGCAGAGCTGGAGCTGACCATTCACATGGCTGGGCTGGGATAGAGGTCAGCCCACCAGAACCCTGTGTTAAGAGTCACATCCAGGATGAAAATGTGGGTAACAAGACTTCCTAAGAGGCAGAGTTGGAATATATTCATTTACAATATTTCTGCTTTTTGAAACAGCATAGTCTCATGAAAGATGCTCACTTCCAGATAGTATGGAACTTATTGGCTCCATCTGTCTTCAAGTCTTAACCTTTCATGCCCCGTTTTGCATTGTATTTTTTCCCCAGTAAAGCCCCTACCTTAATCTTTTCTTCCTTATTTTGTCTTTCTTCCTCTATTCCCATAGCAGTATTTTTGAGCATTATTTCAAGTACCTCATTTTTTAATGCTGGCAATTGTCATCTTTATGTATATTCTGGAAAAATTTGCCTAAAAGCTGCTCATACTTTGACTTCTGGAGTATTTTGGGGGATGAGAAAATAATCTTTAAATTTGCTTTTTGTTTCTTTGCTGTGAAAGATGTGACAGTGCAACATTTAGTGGCTAGCTTATGTAGCATCCATGTAATGGATACGTGGTCAAAATGTTTATGATACTGAAAGGCAGCTCTGCAAAGCTGAAGTTTCTGCCATCATTTCAATGAGAGGTAGGCTCTAAATAGGATTAATGCCTCACTTGTGGCAAGATTTATCTGGGTATTTTATTATTTATATGCCCTTGAAATCAGTGAGAGTCAGTTTTAACACTTAGCCCATAGAGTTACGTCTGTTCTAAACTTCAAGTGAACATTCCGCTCTGGAACATATAGATTTAACAAATTTTCATTTGAATAACTGAAATCAATGGGAGTTCTGCAGCTGGGGGCATTGGAAAGCCCAGAAGTCTTTCACCTGTGTCTTTCAGCACTACAGATCTCTTTGAAATTATGGCCCTGAGGCGCTCCTGAGTATGTTTTCCATCCTCTTTAATAGGGTGTCCATGATACTACGATGATATGTGAGATTTCTGCTCTCGTGTCTTTGGCTGATGAGGGATGGAGATTTCCAAGTACAGAACAGCAAGTCCCTAATGAGAGGAGAGGGCAGAAGTGCTGCTGGTTTCTAACTGGCAGTTGGATGAAACCTGAAAGCGTGTCTAATTCAAGCTGCTAAAAAGAAAGTGATGATTGAATGCTTTGAAATAATGGTGCAATCTGTATTCAGGATCATGCTTTTTAAACTAGAAAGCATTTCTTAGACAGGAAGGGTATCTAATTAAAATAGACTTCACTGGATTTGTAAAAACTAAGCAACTTATAAGCACCAATACTCATTATTTCAAATCAGTTTACTTCAATGTGTAAGCTTCAAATCTGAACTGACTGTAAGAAATTCCTCTAATGACAAATACAGGTCAATAACTGAATGGCAGCTTGGTTGAAAATTGAAATGTGTGAGAGTTAACTGCTTTTAGACTGTTCATTGCAAACCAGTAGCTGCGACTTGCAAGGAAGGAAGTTTCTGATGAAGCCTCAGAAGATGATTTTTATTCAT